GAATGCACCCACCTTCCCCTCCCCCCCCAAAATTGCTCGTGTTGAAATCTTCCATGGATTTCAAGTCCCAGCTCCGATTGCCACCTTTTCTGAGAAGTCCTCCCTGATTGCCCTGGCCAGAAGCAATCTCTTCCTCCTCTGAATTCTTGTGATATTTCATCTTCTAATTCCCAACATGCTCCTCCTCTCCTCCATCCCATCCTCCAAAATTTCTACTAATAGCCTTTTCCCGATCCCAAAGCAGGAGAGGGCTCTGAGCCCCATCTCCACTATGATTCTTGGGTTTCTGTATTATCTCAGCTAGGTCATTAACCACACCCAGCATCAGAAATAAATTGACTTGCTTTCAATTCCCTGGTCCCTCCGTCACGAACCTGGTGGGGGACCATGGGGATGGGTGGGTACTGTTAACAGACTCAGGCACAGGAATAGGGGAGAAGGAGAAGTCCAGAGCAGGAGGGTGTTGTGATTGGGGTTCCCCTCCTCTCTCCCTCAGCTGCAGTGACTCATGGAGGGAGCACTCCTCCTTCGCTCCCCTCATGAGGACAGTAACTAGAAGTCGACCTGAAAGTCAGCCAGATGCATGGGGAAGAGAAGAGAAGTGGGCGAGGCATTTTGCTGGTGTTTTACCTAGTGGGGTTGCTTCCGGACAGAAGAAAGAAAAAAAAAACCCAAACCAGACATACACACACACACACAAAAACCCCCTCTCACTCTGGGAAGGAAATTTCTGACATTTACTGCCTGTCTTAAGCACTTGGCCTTCAGTGGCAGAATTTGCATGGGGCTTCCTGGGATGGTAGATTTGAGGGAAATATAGGGAAGGGGTAAAGCTGGAGCTGGAGAGCTCCAGGGCAGGAACCCCGTGGTAGAGACCCTTCCTCCCCCTTCCCCTCATCCAGGCCAGGTCAAGGTGGAAGGAGAAAAGAAAGGCTGAAAATTCTGGGTCCCCCTCTTCATACCTGCACTCCATTCCCCAGAAAAATGGGGCAAGGGGTCATGGGATTGTGAATTGGAAGGGACCTTAGAGGTCATCTCACCTAGGGGTCTTCACCTTTTTGTGTATTTTGGACCCCTTGAGCAGTCTGGTGAAGCCTTTTCACAACAGGAATCCCCTACTGTAGTTAGTTGAATATCCTTACTGTCCTGCTCATGTGGCCTGCTTGTTTGTGTTTTTAAGGACAAGGTAGGCCTCTGTCTCTAGGGAAGAAGAGGAGCACATTTGGCCATTGGGGTTCTCTTGTCAAGACCAAACCTTTGGTAGTTAGACCTTCTACTTCTGACAGGACAGCATTTTAAGGTCTTGGCTGAACCTACTTCTGGAGGCAGCTTCTCTTGGGAGGTTAGAAATCACCTTAGTTTAGAAGTCATAATAATTTACTTTTTTTTTTTTTTGACTTTATGATCACAAAGAGAAGCAGTTTGGAAGAGTTCATAGAGAGTTGATCTGAGTGTCAGGAAGGCCTGGATTCAAGTCCTGCTTTTGACACATCCTGCTTGTTTGATGCCAGACACGTTAGTGTCCCAGGCAACCAAGACTACTAGTTTGAGAGAAGGTGCTAATCCGTACTGGAAAAGGGAGTTTCCTCACCTTGGAGTTCCCAATACTCAAGTCTATATCTCCTGTGATTATAAAGTAATTTATAATTACTTAATCTCATTTGCAATTTGAGAAATATGCTTGTGAGTTGGATCATGTCCACATTTTATAAATTGGTCTTCCCAGTGGTGCTAGGGAGAGAGCACTGGATAAAGATCTGGGTTTGACTCTTGACTCTACTATTTACTAGCTACATGACCTCAACTCATCATAGAAAGAGTATTGGTTTCGGAGTCAAACAATCTGGGTTCAAATTCTGACTCTGCTACTTACTACCTGTGTGACCTAGGGCAAGTCACCTCCTCTCTCTGAGCCTCGGTTTCCTATTCTGTAAAATGAAAAAGAGCGTCTGAGGCTCTTTCCAGGTCCAAATCTATGACCCCATGATCCTAATTGTTTTACCTCGGGCTAGTCATTTTCTCTACTCTGACTCAGTTTCCTCACCTATAAAAAAGGTGGGGGAAGGGATTTGACTTGGTGGCCTCCTTCTAACTCTAAATCAGTTAATTTGTTTATCAGGGGTGGAGGGGGCACTGCCTGCCTTGTAGGATTTTTTGTGAAAAATCACATAGATGTAAAGTAGTGGTCCTCAGTGGTTGAGAGACCCTTTCAGAAGGTCTGCAAGGTCAAAATAAGGTTATGGGAGAAATATCTCTGAGTTTATGAGGGAGGTAACTACTGCTGAAATATGTGAGTAGACCACAGTGCAGAAACTATAGAGGTAAGAAAAACCTAGTTTTATTATTATGCTTAAACATAAGTTCAGTTCTCAGACAAAAAAAAAATCTAAACAATCATTAGGATTCTAACAAGATGAAATTATGTCAGAGTGACAAAAATAATTATTTTACATATTGCAATCTCTTAGGTCATAAAAGTTAAAGAAAAGACAGATCCATAATCTCATGCTTTCTTCAATGTCATAAAAGTTGAATAAACTTAGAATCATAATCTCATAAACCTAGTTAAACAACTTTATAGGTAAACTAAGTCAGGTTACAAATTAAACTACATTTAGAGCGTTCACAAATAGGCTGATTGAGGAGGGAGATATTTATATGTTGCCAAGGAGTCGGGGATAATTGAGATTCTTCCTCTGGCTTCTCATTTAAGGAACGTTTAAGGCTTCAAGTAAATATTCACATCCTATGAGACACATTTTGGTCAGGTGAGGTTAATATTAATAGAAGATGGGCTTTTAGCTAACCAAAAGTTACAGGAGGAATGGTCATGAGCCCTGAATAATAAAAATCAAAAGAAAATAGAAAATTCCTTTACAATAATATTAAGACATGTTAATTTCTAATATGGTAAACATCCATAGACATAGCCCACATAAACCAAAGTTCTTTGGGGAGTTAGCAGTAATTTTTTAGTGTAAAAGGGTCCTGAGACCAAAAAGTTTGACAAAATTCTAAAAAGGGTAAGATGCTATATTCCTATGAAATCAATGCATTTCAGAACTGGAAAGGACCTCAGTGGCCACTGAACACTGATACCCCTTTCCACATCTTCAAAAAGCATTCCTTTTCCCTTTACTTAAAGACCTCCAAGGAGCAGGAAACCAGTCCTTCCCAAGGCTGATCAGGGTAGCCTCAAATTGTTAGGAAGGATTTCCTGACATCAAAATGAAACCTGCCTTTTTACACCTTCCCACCTTTGCTTCTACTTTTGTCCTCCCTCTGGAGCCAAGAAGAGCAAGTTTAATAGCCCTTCCACTTGACAGCCCTTCAGATATTTCACAATAGCTATTGTGTTCCCCCTAAATCTTTTTTTCCGGGCTAAACATCGCTGATCCTCAGCTGACTTGCTTTCAAACATCACCATACTGTTTTCCCTCCTTTCCAGATATGCTCCAGGTTGCTAGAATCCTTCTTAAAATAGAGCATCTAGCAGTCTATATGGGGTCTGACCAGGGCAGAGTCCAGTAGGACTAGCATTTCTGGTGTACTAGACATTATGTTTTTCTAAATTCATCCTAGGTGCGGTTTTCTGCCTGCCATCTCACACTGTGATCTCATATTGAGCATTCCGACCCCAAAAATCCCCAAGAGTTAAGTAGAGGTGATCTTTTGAACCCAAGTGTCAAACTTTACATTTATTCCTATTATATTTTATCTTGTTAGATTTGATCCATTTTTCTAGTTCAAGGATCAGCAAAATATGGCCTATGGACCAAATCTAGCCCACTTCAAGGGCCAAATTTGACTTGCCTGTTTTCTTACTGCTTAGCAGGCTAAAAATATATATTTTTTATTTTTTTAAATAAAGTTTTCTTGTATCTAAAAATGTAAAAAAAAACCATTAGATCATAAATCATACAAAAACAGGCAGTGGGCTTAATTTTGTTCTTTGGGTGGGCTAGCTTTGGCCCTCAGGCCAGAGTTTACTGACCCCTATTCTAGTCTATTGAGATCTTTTGGGATCCCGACTGTTGTGAAACAGTCTAGCTCTGCCTTCCAGCTTCAGTTCATATACATGTTTGCTAAGCACTCCAAGTGTGTCTTCATCCAAGGCACTGATAAAAATGCCAGACAGGGTTGACCCATGTAAACACAGATCCCTGGGTCATTCCTCTAGAGATATCCCTTTAAGTTAACATCAGTCTATTCACAATTACTTTCTTAGTCCTGACATTCAATCAGTTCCAAATTGACAGGTCTTGGCAACAGATTGAATATGGAGGATTCAGAATTATTCAATTAATTTATTCAATAATAATTCAATAATTTATTCAAAAATAATGAGGACTCGGGAGCCTGAGGAAGTAGGAGGATGGTGTTACCCTCTACAGTAATAGGGAGAGTGGGAAGCAGGAAGGGTTTAGGTGGAAGGATAATAATTTCCATTTTGAACGTGTTGAGTTTAAGATGTCTTCTGGACATCCACTGCAAGGTGTCTGAAAGGCAGTTGGAGATGTGAGACTGGGGGTCAGCAGAGAGATTGTGGCAGGATAGGTAGATTTGAGAATCATCAGCACAGAGATGGTAATTAAATCCATGGGACATGATGAGATCACCAAGTGAGGTATTATAGAGGGAGAAGAGAAAAGGGCCTAGGACAGAACCCTGTGAGACATCTGTGATTAGAGGGTATCATCTGGAAGAGGATCCAGGAAAGAAGACAGAAAAGAAGTGGTCAGGTGGGTAGGAGGAGAACCAAGACAGCGTAGTGTCCTGAAGATCTGAAATGACCTCTGATGTCTCTTCTACCTCTAAATCGATGTTCCTTTTTTATAGATAAGGAAACTTGAGACTTAGGGAGATCAAATGACTTGTCCAGTGTCCCATGGCCAGGGACAAATCCAGGCCTGGGGAACTTAGGTCTCTTTTCTCCAAACACATCCCTGCTCTGCTGTTCTGCAAAGATCTAGATTGAACAACTCTGTTCTCTCTTCTAGATCTGGTGCCTCAGAAGCCATGTCCCCAACGGCTTGAAGACTGCAGGAAGAAGTGTGATCCAGACCATTACTTGGAAATTGAGGAGGAATCCCGCTGCCAGGCTTGTGTTAACTGCTCTAGAGGTACTGTCCTTGCTGCTAGCCACGAGTTTGTCTCTTCCCTACTCGGTCCTTCCTCACCTATGAAGGGATTGGGCATATGTGAGTGTGTGTGTATGAATACGTGCATGAGTGTATGTTTGTGAGTGTGTGTGTGTGTGTGTGTGTGTGTGCCCATGAGGCCATATAAGGAAGGGAATACAGATGACCGAGGGAGAGAATTCTCTGGGACTTGCCAGTTGGGAGCTACCTGGTCAGTTTCCTTATCATTGCAGTCCAGAGAGAGCCTCGTCTTTTTTTTAATGTTTTATTGATATTTTTTTGCTTTAAAAAAACAAACCACTGTGACTTTTCAATAACCCATAATGCCCAGAGAGCCCTTTCATCAATACAGTCAGCAAATCAGACTAACAAAGCAACTACTGCTGATGACATAGGCAAACTTCTGTACCTTCCCCCTTCCTCTACTTCCTCGGACTGAGAGCAGGGAAGTGTATTTCATCACTAATTATTTGGAACCAAGATTATACGTTGTATAGAATCTGAATTCAGATATGTTCTTTTCATTTACACTATAAGATAGGAAGTTAGGTAGTAGAGGGGAGAGAGAGCTGGGCCTGGAGTCAGGAAGACCTGAGCTCAAATCCAGCCTCAGTTACTAGCTGTGTGACCTCGGGCAAGTCATTTAATCTCTGTTGGCCTCGGTTTTCTCAACTGCAAAATAGAATAATAACAGCACCTACCTCTCAGGATTGTTGTGAAGATCAAATAAGATAAAATGCTTAGCCTGGAACATAGTAGGTGTTATATTAATGCTTATTTCCTTCCCTTCCCCTTTGTAGTTTCTGCATGTATATTATTTTCCCAGTTCTGCTTTCTTCATTAACGTTAATTAGGCATCCAGACATGTTTCTCTTAAGGTCCTCCTCTGACACTTCATCATGGCCTGAACGTGATCCTGGGATCACAAAGCCCATGCCACAAGGGGAAAAAACATCACTGGAAAGGCACGGTGTCTTCTATACATTGTTCTCGAGTCATTTCAGTCGTGTCTGACTCTTCATGACACCATTTAGGGTTTTCTTGGCAGAGAGACTGAAGTGGTTTGCCATTTCCTTCTCTAGCTCATTTTATAAATGAGGAAACTGAAGCAACTAGGGTTGAGTGACTTGCCAGGGTCACATAGCTAGTAAGTGTCTCAAGCCAGATTTGAACTCAGGAAGATGAGTCTTCCTGGCTCCAGGACTGGCACTCTATCCACTATGCCAGCTAGCTGTTTGTGCCTTGTAGGTGCTGTATGTAGTAGGTGTTGAGTAAATATTTGTTGAATGAATGAATGAATCTGGGTAAAGAGGCTTTGCGTATGGACCCAGCAGAAGTCCAAAATCTCAGGAAGGGACCTCAGAGACCAGCTCCTTGAAGGAGAAATCTCTTTTTTACATTCGCAATAAGTGATCAACCAGTGTCTACCTAAAGCCTTCCAGTTTGGGGTGGACCCGGAAGTGCCCTAAAGAGAAAACCCATGTCCCTTTGGCACAACTCTAATTGTGAGGAATTTTTTCTTGACATCAAGCCTAAACGTGTATCACTGCCACTTTTACTCCCTGATCCTGGTTTTCCTCTCTGAGGCCAAGTCAAATACATCTAATCCTTCATCCAATGGACAGCCCTTAAGACACTAAATAATCAGAGCTGGCGTTTAAAGAGGCCTTTAAGATTGGCCAAGCATTTTACGTGTGTTACCTCATTCAGTACCTTTGAGTAAAGCAATTAGTTCCCCCCACCCCCATCCCACCCCAAGACTTATCTCTACCAAGCTAAACATCCCCAGCCCTTTGCCACCTTGGCTACTTCCCACTGGACACTATTCAGTGGACCCACGTCCTTTCTGAAATGTGGCACCTGGAACTGAACACAATGCTCTAGGTGTGGTCTGACCACATGGGCAGAGGTATTCTCCCTTTCCTAGTACTAGATGCTTTTCCTCTCTGAATACATCCGAAGAGTACTTCCTCTTTTTCAGCCTCCATATCACTCTCCTGACTCATACTGAGTTTGGTTCTGTGATCCTATCTGTACAATGAACTGCATGGCTGTCAGTGGAGGACCAGCCCAGATAAACCCAGAGAGGCTCATTGTCTGAAGTTTAGCCACCAGGTGGTGGGTTGTTTTTTTTCTTCTTTTTTTTGGGGGGGGGTGCATGGTAGCTCATGAAGATAGCTGACTACTAAAAAAGTGCAGGAGCTGTGATTTGTGAGTCAGGGGAAGCAGTAGTAGCACCCGTGCTGATGAAATTCTGGGTCTTTGGAAATATCAAAGAAGTGTTTGTTATAATAGCAACAATAACCTCTTAGACTGATATATTTCAGAACACGTTCAATTCATCCATCTGTCCATCCATCCATCCATCCATCTGTTCATCTAATCATCCATTCATTTAATAAACATGCCAGTGGCCTGCTATGTGCAAGGCTTTATGTTTGGCAGCTTCTTGGGAAGATACATATTTGAATAAAACATCTTCCTTACCCTCAAAGAGATTATAGTCTAGTAGAGGAAATCAGATATGAGAGCCCAATCATTATAGCACAAGGCAAAATAAGATGAGTTCATATGGGAAGTACAGAGCGCTCGTAAGATCTGACAAAGGAGAAGTCCATCCCCTGCTCAGGGGGGAGAGGGAAGGAATCAGAGGAGGTTTCATAGAGGAAGTAACATTTGAATTGGACGTGAAGCGTGGGTAGGACTTTGCATGCAATGGTGTACCAGGAGAACTTTTCAGATAGAGGAAGCTTTGTGAGCAAATGTGCAGAGGTCGGAAAGTAAGGAATGTGTCAAGTGATTCCATATTTGGTTGATGGTGTGATGTGGCAATTGTTTTCAACTTAGCTTTTTAGGTAATGTGATCTTAGGCTGTATTAAGAGAAAAATAGTATCCAGGACAAGGAAAACTATGGCGCTACAAGTGGCATTGTTTGACTGGGGCATCAACTTTGTGAAGTGGATTAGGGAATATTATTATTAATTATTATTAACATAATGAATATGAATTAACATTATATACTATACCAAATATTAATTTATAATATTAATATAATGTTCATATGCATGATATTGATTATTATTATCAATAAATTATTGGGAAATAAAGCTGGAAAGATAGAATGGAGGACCTTTCAAATAGGCTGGAGAATTAAGATTTTTATCCAGTAGGTAGTTGGGAGCCATCAAAAGTGTTTGAGGAGTGTCAGGATCAGACTTGTGCCTTAAGAAGATTATTTGACCCTCGGCAAGTCACTAAACTCCAATTGCCTAAAAAGGAAAAAAAAAGAAGAAGAAGGTTATTTGAACAACAAGCAAAGGATGGGTGAGAGAGGGGAGAGACTAAAAGAATGAAGATTAGTTAGGAAGTTATTCAAGTAGGCCTGCTAAGAGGCACTGAGGATTTCAGCTGGGCTGGTGACAATGGGATCGGGGAGAAGGGCACAGAGGGGAGAGATCTTGCGGAGGTAGAATGGGTAAGACTTGGTGACTGTGTGGGTGTGAAGGACAGGGGAGAGGGAGGAGTCGTGATAGCCCCCAGAGTTTTGGGAGAGTAGTGGAATGTTAATGGAAATAGGAACTCAGCAGGAGGAACAGGTGTGCAGGGCACAGTGTGGGCCTCAGTGGAAGCATATGAACTTGTCTTTGAATGAACACAATAACGCATGTGAGAGCACCTTGGGAAGGGTAAAACGATTCATAGGGTCATAAATTTAGAGCTGGAAGGTCATCAATTTAGCGGCCATGTAGTCCAAGCCTGTCACTTGACAGAGGAGAAAAGTGAAGACCAGAGAAGAGGTATCCTGCTTGGGGCCATACCGGCAGTGTCAGAATCAGGATTTGGACCAAGGTCTTCCTAACTCCAAGTCTAGCTTTCTATCAACTATACCACACAGCTTATAGGGAAAACTGCTCTCACTTCTCAGACTCTCCTCCACGCCAATCCAATTGGGTCCAAAGCATTGATTCAATGCCTGCTAGGTGCAAGGCACTGTGCTAAGATCTGGATATACAAAAATAAAATGAAAAACTATGCTTACCCACATGAAGTTCATATTCCACTGAAATTGCCCCTCTGAAAAAATACAAGCCCTCCTCAGGCCACTGGCTAATTGCCCCCTGAGGTTTCTCCCACTCTTATAGTCCCTTTGTATCCATCCCCAAACTCTGTTATATCGCCAGACTTCAGCTGACCCTCTCCCTTCAAGCTCTATCAGATTGTGCTTGAATGGTTTCTTCTCTCTAGGTGACCTTGTGGAGAAGATTCCTTGTACCTGGAACTCCCCTCGAGTCTGTGTATGCCAGGAAGGCATGTTCTGTGCCACATCAGCCAGCCACAGCTGTGCCCGTTGTGTGAAACACTCCATGTGCCCACCAGGGACCATAGTCAAAGAGCAAGGTAGGGAATCTTCACCTCACTCTCTCTTTCTCTGTAGCCTTCCTATTTCTCCCCACCCCAGAGTCTCAAGATCCCCTCAGTCCCCTTGGAGTGAATGACTTCTGGCTCCTAAGTCTGCTTGGACAGTTACTTGGGACTTGCTACCTGTCGTACACTTGGGTTGGATGAGATAGAATAGATACTCCTTCAAAACAAGGTTAGAGGGTTGGGACTGTCTGGTCTTTTTTCTTTAAGAATGTTGGGTTGGTAATTATGCTACTTCCTGAGAATCACAGATTTAGAGCTGAAAGCAGTCTCCTGGGTCATCTAGTCCAACCCTCTCATTTTACAGATGAGGAAACTGAGGCCCAGAGAGTTAAGGTACTTGCCCAAGATCACACAATTTAGAATGTGACAAAACAAACATTTGAACCCAGGTCTTTTTTTGGAGGAGGAGGAGGGAGGGAGGGAACATAATTGTGATTTCATCCATGTAGAGAAAACCCATTGAGGAAACATCCTTCATCAGTGTAGATTGGCAACTCTTTTGCAACTTGTAGCCTTAGAGAGCTGCCTACATCGCTGAGACTTTGAGTGATTTGCCCAGGGCCACACAGGCAGAGCTTGAACTCAGTTCTTGCTGATTTCTAGGCTAGTTCTCTAACCAATACACCATGCTGCCTCTTCAGTCAATCAATCCATTGATCATCAAGCATTTATTACCCATGCATTGTCTCTCTTGTTAGAATGTTGGATCCTTGGTGGCAAGAACAGGTTCACTTTTGTCTCTATACCCAGAACTGAGCACCATCATTGCCCTCAAGGGTCTTACACTCTAACAAGAGAGACAGCATGTATAGTACATTTGGAGATATAATAATAATATAGATATATTATGATAATATAAACATAATATATATATAATATATTTCTATACCTCTTTAAGGTTTGCAGAGTGTTATATACATTATCTCACCTGATCCTCACCACTGTATGAGAAAGGGGCTATTATTACCCCGATTTTATAGGGAAACTGAGGCAAAGGGAGGTTAGGCTTGGACAAGGTGGCCTTCTAAAGCCCTTTAGACCTCCAAACCCTAAATCTGTGAATCTATGGAAATGTAAACTGCTATTCAATGAGAAATTGAGGAAAGAGTAAGTAGGGAGATAAGTAGGGGGATCAGGGAAGACTGCCTGGAGGAGGCAGTACCTGAGCTGAGTCTTGAGGAGAGGAAGTACTTCCCTCAGTCCTTTAGATTTCAGGGAGATTACTATATATAATATATAGTTACTATATGTAATATATTACTATAATTGGGGAATGAAGTATAGTGGGGGACTTGTTAGAACAGACCTTGGGATGATGCTAGAGGTTCTGGGGACCAGTAAAATGAAAGTTTCTTGAGGATAGGGACTGTTTTTCTTTTGTCTGTTTCTCCAATGCCTAAGACAGTGCCTGGCACATAGCAGATGCTTATTGTTCATTGAATGAAAAATGGGCCACAAATGTGAAGATTAGGTACTCCCGAAGCCTAGAAAACACATGGGAAATGTTAAGGCAATCATACTAGAATGCAGTTTGTGCTAGTTTCCTGACTGGAGATAGACAAAAAGAAGACATCTTGGCCAAAGGGGTGGGCATCAGGTCCGGGGGAATGAGGCTCTAGTTTTCTTCCTCAACTTGTTGAATGAATCTTTGATAGAGTCCTTTCATTCTTAGGGACGAGGTGGAGAGATGTCCCTTAGACAATGGCACAGAGCTGCATGAATGATGATATCACATTGGAAGGAGTCTCTAGAGCTCTGCCCCAAAGAGCTGAGTGTGAGCCTCTGCTCTTTCACATTTTCATTCATGTTATCCTCAAGAAACAGTCGTGGAGAAAGCCCTGGCCTAAGTGTTAGAAAACCTGGGTCCAACTCCCATCTCTGACCCATAGCAGCTCCGTGACCCTGGGCAAGTTGCTTAACCACTCAGTGCCCCACATAACTCTAAGACTAGACATCTTGGGCCAGAACTGCTGGCAATATGCATCAGTCGAGAGTTTCCTTTACTGACGGGATCACAAATCTAGATCCCCTTTGACCCCACTAAAAATGACTTAGACATAAAGACCTAGATAGTAAGCTTATCAGATTTGTAGATGACACAGATCTGGGTGAGACAATGAACACTTAACACACTGGATGACAGATCCAAAATCCATCCTGACAGGTTAAAACTTCAAACCCAACTAATAAAATGAAATTTAATAGGCATAAATGCAAAGTCCAATATGTGGGTTCAAAAAATAAATTCTTAAGTATAAGATCAGCTGAGGCTTAGCTACACAACTGATGGTATTAAACACATGTTGAGTTTTCTTTGGTTGTAAGCTCCATATGGGTCTGCAGAGTGATCTGCCAGCTGAAAATGTTAATGCAGTCATATGGTGCCTTAAGAGAAGAATCTAAGGGACTTTACAGTCCTGCTATTCTCTGCTGTGGTCAGACATCAGGAACATTGTGTTCAGTTGGGGGCACCATATTTTAAGAAGGACATTGATAAGCTCTAGAAGATTCAGAGCAGAACAACCAGAATGGTAAATGGTCTTGAGTTCAACTATATAACAATTGGTTGAAAGAATTAAAAATATCCAACCTGGAAAAGACTCAGGGCAGGATGTCTAAGGGGAAAGGGGGTGGATGGGGCATGATAGTTAACTTCATGTTCATAAAAGGCTTCATGCGAAGGAAGGATCAGACTTGTTCTGTTCAGCTCCCAGAGGACAGAATCAGAATCCCCAAAGAGGCGTATCTAGGCCAGATATAAGGAAAGAACTTCCTAACAATGGGAGTTGTCCCAAAGTAGAATGGCTTTAGGAGGTGGTGAGTTTCTGCTCTTTGGAAGTCTTCAAACAGAGTCTGGGAGGCCCCTCATGGAGGATTGTACAGAGGACATTTTTAATCAGGTGAGATTACATGGATTGAGAGTCACCTTCAGCATCTGAAATTCTGAGACTCTGTGATTGGTGCCAGATGACCAGTGCAAATCACTGGCCTAGCTTGGACTTTCCTTTTCTGAGGAAGGAAAATGGGGGTGGGGTCTTTCATGAGTGGTAGTACCATCAGGTCAGCATACTGACTTTCTGCGGCACCCTTCTTTCTTCCCACCCCCCACCAATAACATCTGGAAAGCCCTTCAGAATTTCCCAGAAGGAAAGGGTGACCAAATGAGCTTTATCTGGCATCTGAAGAATGGGTTGAGAAACCAGAAATAGGCAAGGTGACAGGGTGATGGAGGAGCCTTGTTTCAGCCTTAAGCTCTTTGGGAACAGGGAGCCTCATCTTATTCATCATCTTTATTTCTTTCCTAATACCCATTGGAGTGCAGCATAGGAAGTCACAGGAGTCTTAGAACTGGAAGGAGCTGGAGTGCCTATCATGTTCAATCCCATTGGTTCTGGAGTCAGGAAACCTGTTCAAATCTTACTGTTAGAAGGACCTTCAGGAAGTCACAACGTCCCTGGGCCTCAATTTCCTCAACTGTAAAATGAAGTGGTTGGATGACCTTTGAGGTCCCTTTCAGCTCAAGATCCAAGATCTCATGCTCCTATAACTCATCTACATATGGGGAAATTGAGGCCCAGAGAGCCAAAGTAGCACATTTTAGGTAGGACGTTAAAGTTTGCCAAGTGTTTTATGCACTTTGTCTCAGTAGAACCTCGAAGCAGATATTATGTTTCGCAAATGAGATAAATGAGGCTCGGAGAGTTACCCTCGGTAACTGTCCATGTCGGGACTTGCCCATAGTTACTCAGCTCATAAAGTGTGACCTTAGATAAATCACTTTACCTTTGGGTCTTTTTTGCCTCTGTAAAATTGGGTGGGGAGGGGGATGTACTAGATCCCTCTGAGCTCCCTTTTAGCTACAGAACTATGATCCTATAAGAAATGCCAAGATACACGTAGGTATGCCCTTTTTTCATCTTCCTTAGTCTCAATTTTTTATCCCTAAAATCTGGAGGTTAGACCACCAGGGGTGGGGAACCTTTAGACTCAAGGCCACAATCCTTTACAAAAGGATTTGTCCTGTAAAACTTAGATTCAGTCAAAAGGCCGCACCTGAGGACCTAGAAGGCCACATGTGGCCTCGAGTCTACAGGTTCCCCACCTCTGTTAGGGAGTTCAAGGATGAGGAGGCCAGAGTGCTGAGGGAAACTCCAAGGTGACACATGGCATGATTTTGAAGTCCAGGAACAGGGCCAGGAGGGATTCAAATTTTACATATGTGATTTCCTCTGATCCTTGCAACAGTTTTGTGAGGTATAGGTGTCCAAAATAAATTCAACATTAATAGTGTGATAAAAATTCTCTGGAGGTCAATTGATTAGTCACTGCGGGCCGGTCATGGAATCAACACACCGAGATAGTTATCTGTAGATTTTATTTATGCATGGAGTGCAGGCTTATCTGTGTGAAAAATCAGAGAGCCCAAAGCATCGACGTTAGCAACTTTGTGAATACATAAGCAGTGTGTAAAAGTAGAATTTTATACAAAGTAAGAGGGAAAGATAAGGGCATATGTGTCTACAAACAAGTAACAGAAGTGGGGAGCTATAGACTTCTGAAAGCTGGTCAGAATAGGAGTTGTGGCTTCTTTCCCAGCCTTGATTTCACAGATATTGTGACCTTCCTTGGCTTCCAGGAAGCTCAAAGTAGAGATTGGGTCGATGTCACCTTCTTATCATGGTGACAAGAAGCCTGAGTCTTTCCCATCATCATCTTTCTCTTACCACAGTGACAGCAAGAGTTCTGAGTCAGAAAGTCTCTTGCCATGATAGGTTTCAAGCTGGAAGAGATATCCTAGGTAATCTAGTTTAATGCCCTCATTTTACAAAAGTCCAGGGACAGACCCAGTGTCACAGAGGATAAGACTTGGTCCCTGCTTTCTTGTCCCTGTTTTCATGGAGCTCACCATCTATCAATCACCTCTTAACACAGAGGCAGCTGGATATGTGCTGGGAAAGAGCGTTGAATATGGAGTCAAAAGACCTAGGTTCAAATCTTGGTCCTCTCGCTCGCTACCTGTATGCCCTTAGTTAGGCAAGCAGATCTTCTTCTTGAACCTCAGTTTCCATATCTGCAAAATGAGGGGTGGTTAGACTAGGTGACCTCTAAGATCTCTTCCATCTCTATATCTACAACCAAACAAAGACCATTCTGGATCTTAGATCTAATTCTATGATCTGATAATATATATTACAGGATTCACATTCAAAAGAAAGTACTATGCAAAGTCTGAGGGGCAAGGTCATGATTGATCCAGTGATGACCTCATTGACCAGTTTTGTCATCTATAAGGTGAAGGGATTAGATTAAATGACTGTGAGGTTCCTTCTATCTCTGCCCCCTAAATGACCCCTCAAATCAGTCCCTCCTGGGTTGAGTTAATTGTGCTTAAGCCTGATGGGTTGTGCTGTCCTGAGAGGCCACAAGATGGCGCCAAAACCGATTCATTGATCTTTTGTTCTCACATCCCCTTGAAAACTCTCTTCTTTAAGATCATAAAATTAAAATTATAAGGGACTTGAGAGATTAACTAATTCAATACCCTTGTTTTAGAGCTAAGAACACTAGGACTGAGAGAAGATTTGCCCAAGATAGTTGAGTGGCAATCAAGCAGACCACAAGTGTGCCAGGCCCAATGCTGGAAATACAAAGACAAAAGCAAAACAGTCCCTGCCTTCAAGGAGCTTACATTCTAATGGGGGTAGACAAGAATATATGCAAGACTTGAACCCAGCTGTTCTGACTAAATCTAGCATTCTTTCGGCTAGGTCACAGGCCTGTTGTCTACCTTAAAGGTAGCTATGTTCCAATTAGGGAGACCTTCTCAAGAGGGCAAGTTCTCTTGTAAATAGGTGTCAGGCATTGTGCTAAGTGCAAGAGGTACAAAGAAAGGTAAAAGACAACCCATGCCCTCGAGGAGTTCACAGTCTAATGGGGGAGACAACAGGCAAAAAACTGTGTACAAGCAAGCTATAAGGAAGAGCTGATGATAATCACACAGCAAAGGTACCAAGGCTAAGAAGGACTGGGAAATACTTCTTACCAAAGGTGGGAGGGAACAAAGACAAGGAGGGAGAGAATTCCAGGCATGAGGACAATGGGCATGCCCAGAGTCAAGAGGAGGGTCTTGCATGAGGAAATGTGAGGAGGCCAGTGTTACTGGATCATAGAGTATGTGCCAGGGAGGAAGGTGTACAACTGGAAAGATGGGGAGGAGGCAGGTTAGGAAGGCTTTCAAAGCCAAACAGAGGACTTAAAGAAATTGATCCCGGAGGCAATAGGGAGCCACTGGAGTTTATTGAATAGGGGAGTGACGAGCTCAGATGTGTGCCCTTGATAGCTAGATGGAGGTTGGACTGGAGGGGGGAGAAACTTGAGGCAACAGACCCAGAAGCAGGTTAGTGTAATAGTCACCAAATCAACACACAGAGATAGTTATCTGTAGATTTTATTTATGTGTGGAGTTCAGGCTCATCTGTATGAAAAACCAGAGAGCCCAAAGCTTCAATTTGAGCACCCTTATATAGAATGTGAATACATAAGCGTGTTAAAGTGGAATTTTATAGAAAGTAAGAGGAAAAGATAAGGGCATATGTGTCTACAAACAAGTAACAGAAGAGAGAGGAGATGTGAGGAGATGGGGTCTACACCAGGGTGATGGCAGTGTCAGAGGAGAGAAGGGAGAGTAGATCTGAGAATCATCTGTATAGACGTGATAATTGAATCCCAGGCAGCTGAGGAGATAGAGTAGAGTGAGAAGACGTGGCAGGGACAGCTAGGTGGCACAGTGGATAGAGCTCTGGCCTTGGAGTCAAGAGGACCTGAGTTCAAATCCAGACTCAGATGCTTGACACTAGCTGTGTGATCCTAATCAAGTCACTTAACCCCGATTGCCTCACCTTAAAATAAAAGAAAATGAAGTACTTACCAGGCTATCTCAGGGAGTTGAGAGTTTTCTAACCCATCTATGTAATCCCCCTAGATAACTTCCAGGAAGACTCTTCCCTATCCTCTTAGCTGCTGGCCATCCATCTAATTAAATGAGATCATATTGGTAAAGCACTTATCACAGTGCCTGGTGCATAGTAGGCACATAATAAATGCTGATTCCTTCCCTTCCCCGATGAAGACAGAATAAGATAGTAGAAGGTAGGGGCTCTGGAGTAGGGAACTTGGGTTCAAATCTCCCTTTTGATGCTTACTACCTCTGTGACCTTGGTCAAGTTGCTTGACCTCCCCAGGCCTCAGTTTCCTCATCTGCAAAATGAGAGGGTTAAACAAGATAGCCTCTGAGGCCCATTCCATCTTTTGATCTGTGAGGCTGCCTGTGATAAGTAGGGGTCAAAGAGCCGTGGGCTGGAAGCCAGGAGTCCTGGGTCCTAGTTCGAATTCCACCACTGAGTTGTTGTTTAACCCTGGAAGACACTTTTGGGTTTTTTTGGTTTCGTTTTTTGTTTGTTTGTTTTTGTTTTGTTTTTTTTTGAAAAGACACTTTTGCAGGCAGAGTGGTATGATAGACAGAAGAGAAGATTTGGAATCAGGACTTGCTCATCCATGAAATGAGGGGCGGGGCTGAACTAGATGGCCTCAGAGGTCCTTTCTTTTTTTTTTTTTTTTTAGGTAATTGGGGTTAAGTGACTTGCCCAGGTCACACAGCTAGTATGTGTCAAGTGTTTGGTTTGAGGCCGGATTTGAACTCAGGTCCTCCTGACATCAAGGCTGATGCTCTATCCATTGCGCCACCTAGCTGCCCCTCAGAGGTCCTTTCAACTCCTGATGTAGGATGCCAGGATCTTGCTCTCCTACAATCTGAATCCAGGTATTCTGCTTAAGCACTTACCATAGTGTCTGAAACATAGTAGGCACTTAATAAATGTTTATTGACTTAATGATGACTTAACAAAGTGAAGCCAGTCAGTCATCAAACCTTTATTGATTGTTTATTGTGTGCCAGGCACTATGCTAACTGCTGAGAGGTCCAAAACAAAGTGGAAAAAAACCCAATGCCCATCTTCAAGAGCTTCCATTCTAATGGAAGAGTTGCCAATAAGCTGCCATTTTTGAGCATGTCCCCTCCCTTTGTATCTTCATTTCCTTACTGGGAGAACTAGGCACTAGGTGACCTTCCAACGTCTCTTCGAGCTTTGATATCCTGTGGTTCTGTGAAGGACTAGAAAAGGAATTCGATTCATCTGATCCTCCATGTTAAGTGACTCATAATCATCAATCTGTTCTCTGGGATAGAAATCTCTAGGTTAGACAATGTGTATTTTGGAGCACCTCTTTCTGAGCTCCCCAGTATCCAAAGAAGAACTCCACCTCCTCTTTCTTTTTTTTCTTTCCTTTTTTTTGGGGGGGGGGCTAGGCAATGGGGTTAAGTGACTTGCCCAAAGTCACACAGCTAGTAAGTGTTATGTGTCTGAGGCCAGATTTGAACTCAGGTCCTCCTGACTCCAGGACCGATGTTCTATCCACTGCGCCACCTAGCTGCCTCTCCACCTCCTCTTTCCAGAAACACTGGGACTGCTCATGGTAATGCTGATGGGGGGGAGTTGCTTCCATCCACAGGCACCTTGGAGGAGGATACTGTTTGTGAGCCCTGCCTCCCTGGGACCTTTTCCAACCACAGCTCCACTGCCAAGGATTGCCAGCCTCACACCAGGTAACCTCAGAGTTCCCCTGCGCAGTCTCAGGGTGAGCTGGGAAGGAGCTCTCTGAGAGCAGGGGGATGGACCAGATGACCTCTCAGGGTCCCTTTCTGCTTGAAGAGCCGGGATCCTGTCATTGAGTTAGAGAAAAAGCAGAATAGAATCAGGTGCTAAATTGGGTAGTACAGACACAGGAGTTCAGGGAAGAGAGTGATATAGGCTAGAATACATGCATACAATAGGGAAGGCTTCCTGGAGGAGGTGGGTTTTGGAAAGCTGAGTGGAGTGGATGGAATTATTTTCCTGTCATCCCAAAGCCAGTGTCACAGCTGTCCCAAATGCTGCCAGGTTCACCAGGCACTAGGGGCCTGGTACCTTCTTCTAGAGGCTAGAATATTGTCCTTCTGTCAGGAGAGATCTTCAAATTGGGTGAGGGCATGACCAATCCTTGGCCTTACCATTTGGCATACAGGGTGAACTCAAGATGGGATACTTTTTTGGTTGGTTGGTCATAGTGGACCACAGAGGGTGGGATGCCCTTTCCGGACTGGCACACCTGTCTCTAACCTATGTCATGTATCATGTCATGTATTACTACTTATATGACCTTGGACAAATCATTTAACCTTTCTGGACCTCATTTTCCTCATCTGTAAAATGAGGGGGTGGACTTAATGGCCTTTGAAGTCCCTTTAACTTCTAGAGCTAGGAGGCTTGACTCTAGACTTGACTCGTTTGCTTCTTTCTTCGTGGGAAAAGGCCGATGGGGCATGGTTTCCTCCTATGTCATCTCTGAGCACCGAGCTTCTCTGCTTTTAGTAAACAGGGGCCTGGCTTCCCTTTTTCCTTATCTGGGAACAAGGCAGTCTCTTATCTCTCTGCCTATCTGTACCCAGCTCATCAGACAGTTGGGGGAATGCCCCCCATGATCATGTCTGCTCTGACCTGGAGCCACCAACCTTTGTCATCAACCTTCACACTGTCTCCCCCACTGCCAGGATCTCAGATCTTCCAGACCCTTCCAACACCACCGCTAACCCCTCCGACAGGAGCTCAACCCATGACATTGGGACTCTCTCACCATCTCTCACAGGAAGACCCAATCCAGGTAATTCTTTGTGAAGGTTCTGTTTCTGATGGAGTAGGCTAGGGCCAGTAGAGACCTCCCTACCCCAAAGGCAAACGGGTTCACCCCCAGGAAGTTCAGGGTTGAGGTGGGGAAAGATCATGCCTTGTTTACTAACATTTCCCAGGGAAACCTGAGGTCAAGAGGCAGTGTGGTACAATGAAGAGAGTACTAGCTCTGGGGTAAGAGAACCTGAGCTTAAATCTCACTTCTGGTGCTTATGTGACTTGGGACAAGTCTCTCTGGGCCTCAGTTTACCCCATCTGTAAAATGAGGGAGTTGGATGGCTTCTTGAGCTATGATCCAACAACTTGATGGTCTGTAAGATGTTTTCCATCTAAATCTATGATCCTGTGATCTTGGACACTCTGACATGACCTCTTAGGAACCTCTAACAACCAGAGTTGGAGGAGAGGGGGTGGTGCCTCTGCCTGGAGCTGCAACTGATTATGGGAGGCTGGGAGGTAGGTTTCATCAGACTTTGGGGATCAGTACATTCCTAACCCTGTCCCTCCTGCCCCTTCCTTCCTTTCTTTTTTCCTTCCTTCCCTTATAGGTATCCTCAGGCTTTTGTGATCAGTCATTTCTAACTCTGTCTCTCTCTCCCTCCCTCTCTCCCTTCCTCCCTCCCTCCCTCCCTCCCTTCCTTCCTTCCTTCTTTCCTTCCTTCCTTCCTTCCTTCTTTCTTTCCTTTGTAGGTGTCCTCAGACTTTTGTGATCTATATATTCCTAACCCTGTCCCTTCCTCCTTCTCTCCTTTCTTTCTGTCCTTCTTTCTTTCTTTAAAAAAATCTCTATATCATATGTTTTTATATCACTTTGTATATTTCTAATCCTTCGCTACCTAGAGAGCAATACCTTGTGACAACTAAAAAAGAAAAAGGGAAAGAAAACAGATCAGTAAAAATGGCGGACACATCAATCAATATGACCACATATACAATGTTCTACATCCATAGTTTTCCATCTCTGCAGAGAAGGAGGGGAGGTCCAGCCCTGTCTTTTCATGGGACTAATGAATGGATACAGCATGGTATCATGGAAAAGGTCTAGCCTTGGAGTCTGATCTGTCATTGAATCCTGGTTCTAGCTGAACTTGGGAGTCATTGTACTTCTCTGGGCCTCAGTTTCCCTGTCTGTAAAATTTGGGAGTTGGCCTAGATCAGAGCTTCTTAACTCGGGGGTCCATAGACCCCCTCAAAAACATCTATGGATAGATTTCAGGGAGTTTGTAAACTTGGCTAGGAAAAAATTAAATCTTTATTTCAATATGATTGGTTTTCTTGGGTAATTTTGTGAATTTTATTTATTCATTTAAAAACATTATTCTGAGAAGCAATCCATGGGCTTTACTAGAGTGTAATACAACACAAAGATTAAGGAATCCTGGACTAGATGATCTCCATGGATTCCTGGCTCCCAAATCTGTGGTCCTCCAGGGATCCTAGCACAGGAAAACCCAGCATGGACAATGCTCTGTTGGTAGACCCATGAATGGGTACAAGCATTCTGGAAAGCAATCTGGAACTATACATAAAAAGTTACTAAATAGTGTATACCCTTTGATCCAATGACCACTGTGATGTCAATACTCAAAAAAAAAAATCAAAAAAAGACAAAAAGATTCTATTTGTACAAAAATATTTATAACAGCTCTTTTTGTGTTGGTTATAACAAATACACTGGAAAGCAAGGGGATGTCCATCAACTGAGGAATGCATGAATAAAGTGTGGTGTATGAATATGATAGAGTACTCTTGTATTATAAGAAATGAGAAAATGGATGATTTCAAACGTACTTGAAAGACTTCTAGGAAGTGGTGCAGAATGAAGCAAGCAGAACAGTAGAGCAATTTGTACTGTGTATAAACATCACCAAAATGAACAGTTTTGAAGACTTTTATAAACTGATGAAGAATGAACTGAGCAGAACCAGAAAAACCATTTATACAACAGTATTATAAAGACAAACAGCTCTAAAGCTGTGAGAACTATGATCCATGCACTGAGCATCCATGAATCCAGAGGACTGAAGATGGAATATGCTCTCTACCTTCTGCTAGAGAGGTGAAGGATTCAGGGTACAGAACCAGACATGTATTTTTGAACATAGCAAATGAGTAAATGTATTTTGTTAACTATATGCATTTGTTGCAAGGAATTTGTTTTTCTTTTCTCTTTTTGGTTGGGAGGGAGAAAAAATTTTCTGCTCATCAAAAAAAAACTCTTTAAAAATGGAAAGGTTGGAGGATTACAGGTGTGGAGTGTTGTACACTCCACTTTCATATGAGGTCAGTGTGTTGTTCGTTTGGTAGAGCTCTCACAAGATAAGGGCAATTTGGAAAAGTTTGTAATATAAGAATAAAATATGTCAATACAACAAAAGAGAGAGAAAAGAAAAGGAAGGAGGGAGAAGGAAGAGAGAAGAGAGAAAGAAAGCAAGAGAGAGAGAGGTGAGGAGAGGGGAAGAGAGAAAAGAAAAAGAGGAGGGAGAGACAGAGACAGAGAGACACACACAGATAGAGAGAAGAGATGAGAAGAGAAGAGGGAAATAGAGATAGAGCAAGAAGAGAGAGGAGAGACACAGAGAGAGGAGAAAAAAACAGAGAGAGAGAGCAGAGGCAGAGACAGAGAGAGAAGAGAGAGCAAGAGAGAAGAGGAGAAAAGACACAAAGAGAGGAGAGAGAAGAGAGAAAGGAGAGGAAAAAAACAGAGAGAGAAGAGGAGAGAAGGGAGGAGAGAGACAGAGAGACAGAGAGAGACAGAGACAGAGAGAGAGAGACAGAGGGAGGAGAAACAGACAGACAGACAGATAGACAGAGAGAGAGACACAGAGAGTTCAACAGACTTACCAGGGGCTTGATCGGGTCGGCTTGACCAGGTCCGTCCTCTAGTGGTCGTGTCAGGGAATTACTTCCTCAGCCCTCACGGAGATTGCAATGGAGCCAGCACGTGAGAGAAAGCCCTGGGCTGTTCTTATGTTGCAGGTTCTGAGTCTCTTTTCTGGGTGGCGACGGTCTTTGCTGTGACGCTTGCCTTTGTTCTCTTACTGATCTGCCAGCAGAGGGCCTGCAGGAAGGGGATTCTGCAGAGTGAGTTCATGTTCTGCCCCACGGAGCCGTTGCTGGTGGGGAGGGGGCAGGAAGGACTGACTGGGGTGGGATGGAGATGCCGTACTGAGCACGGGTCCCAGCTTGGGACACTGGGTTTTCATAATGTGGCGATATGGAATGCTCACTGGAATTAGAGGCTACCAGGAGACCTCAATTCTATCCTGGGCTCTTCCTTTGCTGGATAGGTACCCTGTGGGCAAGGCACTCGACCTATCCAGGACCTCATTTCCTCATCAGTAAAATGGGGGTGGCAGGAGTATTTGCTCTGCAGAGGCCCTGGGTTTAAATCCCACCTCCGATGCTTGCTAGCAGCTCTGCTTCATCTGTAAAAGGAGGTCAGACCAGATGGTCTTTGAGGTCTCCTCCAGCTGTATGTGGAGGATCCTGTCCTTCATTCCTGTTCACTGGCCGCCTCCTTCATGGGCTTGTTGCAAGGAAAGCACTTTTTAACCCTAAGCCTCTTAAAGAAATGGGTATTGTTAATTATTATTATTCTCCCTTATCCCTGCTCCTGCCCCTAAGACCAGGACCTAGAGGGCCATGTGTGGCCTTGAGGCCGCAGGTTCCCCACCCCTGTTCTATAAGGACCAAAGAACTGGCCCCTGCAGGTTTCCTGTCTTCTCTTTCAGAGCTTCACCTCCCTTCTGGCCAAGCCTTCCAACCCAAGGTCATGTCTATGGGTAAGTAGAGGGAGGAGATATGGGCGCAGGTGGAGGGAGAGAGCATTGGCTGAGTAGGAGGAGTGTGACCTTGACCTTTGGGTGATGCAGTGGATAGAGCTCCAGCCTTGGAGTCAGAAGGACCTGAGTTCAAATTCGGTCTCAGACACACAACACATGACACTCACTAGCTGTGTGACCCTGGGCAAGTCACTTAACCCCGATTGCCTAGCAAAAAGCAAAAAAAAAGTACATAATCCTTCCTCTCTCTGGGACTCAACTGTCCCTATTATAAAATAAAATAAGGCAGCAAGGGAATAGGTGAGGGGAGAGGGGAGGAGGAAATGATTGACTGGTTGGAGCCCATGAACTCCTATGGTCCTGCCTTGCCTGGGTGTCACGTGTTTAGCTTTATTTAAAAAAAAAAAAAAAGGTTATTCTGTGACAACACTGTAAATGAGAGAGAAAAATAAAACTGCAGCGGAAATTCTAATTTCAATAAGAACCGAAGAAAGAAAGCGATTGTTTCAAGGAGATTCTCAGCCGGCCAGCACCCTTCCTTGAGAATCATTTTTCTGGGGGATAAATTTTTTTAAAACCCATCTCAGTATTTATTCTCTTTTTACACTTATCACCATCACAGATAACTCTTGAATTCATTCATTTTCTTTCATGTGTTCATTTGCTCAACGAATTTTTATTAATTCAATTAAACTTGACAGGCATTTATAAAAGCCCTACTATGTGCCAGGCACCGTGCTAGGTGCTCGGGATACAGAGACAAAACCACCGCCATCCCAGCCTTCAACGAGCTTCTGTTCAATTTGGTTACGACTGTGGGGACCCAGACAAGGAAACAAACATTATGTACAAGTAATTTCAAGACAGAAAGTTAGTAACTGGAGGGATCAGAAAAGCTCTTTTCTCGGAGGTGGCATCTGAGCTATGCTTTGAAAAAAAGAGATTCCCCCTTGAAGGGATCATGAGAATTAAAGATGAAGAGGGACTGGGCAAAGGCCCAGAAGTGGCAATTTGAGGGATGTGTTTCAGGAACATCAACAGGACTGACCCAGGTGTTGGTTCTGATTATAGTTTATCTGGGCCAGAGCTCCCTGGGAAGGGTCTATTAGTTTGTCCAGTCTTGGACTGCATTAAGAGGCCTACCTCCTAGGCACAAGGAGGTGATATGTTGCTCCCAATGCATCCTGCCCTGGTGACACCACAGGTGGCATAGTGTATTAGCCCTGGGCACCATGTTTTAGGGTAGGCATCAAGAAACTGGAGATTATCCCAGAGTGGGCAATCCAGGCCCTCAAGTCCATGCCATATATGGGTCAATAGAACTTACTGAGCATGTCTGGCTTGGAGAAAACTTACAGGGAATGCCCTTTTTCAAGGGTTTGAAGGGCTGCCACTTAGAACAGGATGGCTTAAATTAGGCAGCTTGATAGCGTAGAGTGCTGGACTTGGCATCAGGACAGATCTGAGTCCGAATCCTGCCTCAGACACATACTGGGTGTATGACCCTGCACGAGTCACTTAACCTCTTTCTGCCCTCATTTCCTCATCTATAAAATGGGAAAATAACAGGACCTACATCTCAGGGATGTTATGAGGATCAAATGGGGTAACATAGGTCAAGTTCCACATAAATGCTTGCTATTATTATTATCTTTTTCTGGCCCAGAGGGGAGACCTAGGAGCCAGGAGTAAAAGTTGTGAAGGGGCCAATTTGGGTTGGAGGTCAGGACGAGCTTCCTAACAATTAGAGCTGGCCTAATGTGGCCTGGGCGACCTGGAGAGGGGGTAGATTTCCTCTTACTAGGGATCTACCAGCAGAGGCTGGTACAGGTTAGATTAAGGGGCCTCTGAAGTCCCCGGTATTTTCAGCCTTCAGTACCATTCTAGGGATGAAAGGCATCACTTAGCCAATCCAAGCGTCTGGGGTCTGGACTATCTTAGAGCCATTTACACTTGTCCAGGCTTTGGACATAGAATCAAAACATGTCATATTTCCCATTCATGTACTTTGAATCTGACGTTACCCAGTTTCACAATCAGATACTTCTGTTTGGTTCAAAAGGGGGATTTGGGGCTTTTGATGGGCCCTAGCTTTTTTTTTTTTTTCCATGAACTGGCTGCCTGAGAATCTCCTTGAAACAATTGCTTTCTTTCTTCGGTTCTTATTGAAATTAGAATTTCCGCTGCAGTTTTATTTTTCTCTCTCATTTACAGTGTTGTCGCAGAATAACCTTTTTTTTTTTTAAATAAAGCTGAACCTGCGACACCCCTAAACACTTGGACGTTGTAAGTGGAATGTTCCTGGTTCAGCCCTTGTTGTCCTTGTCCAGATCCTTGTGGACCATAGACCCACAAAGCTGGAAAATGAGCAGAACACACAACTTGGCATGTGTTTACATGGTGCAGTGGAAACAGCCCTGACTCTGGAGGCAGAGGGCCTGGGTTCAAAACCTGCCTCTGATACCTACTACCTATGGAGATTTGGGCAAGTCACCACCCCTCTGGACCTCAGTTTCCTCATGTAACAGGATCATAGATTCAGCAGAGAAAGAGACTTCAGAGGCCACCTAGTTTCTTTACTTTTTGGAGCAAAAACTTCCTTGTGTCACAGGATAACAGATGGAGAAGTAGAAAAGGCCAAGCCTTCTAGGCTAACCTCCACATTTTGCAGATGAGGAAACTGAAGCTAATTAATGAAGGGACTTGACCAGAGTCACATAGCTAGGAAGTGTCACAAATAGGAAGTAAACCCAGTTCTCCATTACTCCAAGCCCAATGTTCTCTACATCGTGCCAGGCTGCCTCTCACTCAGTCAAATGAGGGAGATTATGCCTGTAGTCCCTCCCACTTGGAAATTTATGATTCCCTGATCTTCAGGTACAGAGCAGGGCAGCGTCCACGCACCTTAGCACAAGGAAGCTGTCTTGGGAGCTCAGACTAATGAAACGAGCCCTCTTCAGCCCTGGATTGTTGCAGCGGCCCCCTAACTGGTCTCCCTTTCTCTAATCTCTCCTCTCTCCAACCAACTGGTAAATTGTTGTTTTCCTAAAGTACGGATCTGACCATGTCACTCTTTTGCTCAATATACTTCTGTAACTCCCTGTAGGATCAAATATAAACTCCTCTGTGTGGCATTTAAAGCACTTTATAACCCATCACTATCCTATCTTTCCAGTCTTATGACATCCCCTTCAAAGTCAAGTCAAATCAATCAGCATTTATTAAGCACCTACTATCAATCAACATTTATTAAGCACCTGTTATATGCCAGGCACTGTGCTAAGTGATGGGGATTTTAAAAAAAGGCAAAAGCAGTTCCTGTTCTCAAGGAACTCGCAGTCTAAAGAGGAGAAAAACATGCAAATACAATAAATATCGGATGTATTCTAGATAATCCCAGAAGGAAGGCACTAGTATTTGAATGCGCTAGCATAAGGATTGGGAAAGGTCTCTTGCAAAAGGTGGCATCTGAGCTGAGCCTTAAAGAAAGCCAGGGAAATCAAGAAGCAGAAATGAGGAGGGAGGGTACGGTGAAATATATAGAGTCAAGTCATGGAGGAACAGTGCAGAAGCCAGTGTCACTGGATTGTGGAGTACATGAAAGGGAGTAAGGTGTATGAAAACTGGGAAGGTAGAATGGGACCAGGTTAGGAAGGGCTTTAAAAGTGAAACAGAGAATTTTTTATCAAATGCTGGAGGTGATAGGGAGCTACTGGAGTTTATTGAATAGGGGAGTAATATGGTCAGACCTGTCCTTTAGGAAAACCACTTTGACCGCTGAGTGGAGGATGGACTGGAATGGGTGGAGACTTGAGGCAGGGAAAACAACCAGTAGGCTGGTGGCAGTGTCAGAGAAGAGAGAAGGTGTATACGAGAGAGGATGCCAAAGTAGAATCGATGGAACTTTGTAGCAGACTGGATATAGGTGAGAAGGATTGAGAATGACATTTAGTTTGTGAGCCTGGGTGATTGGAGAATGATGGCGCCTTCAACAGCAATAGAGAAGTTAGGAAGAAGAAAGCATTTTTTGGGGGGGGGGGGGATAACGAGTTCAGTTTTGGACATGTTGAGTTTAAGATGTCTATGGGACATTCAGTTTGACATGTCTAATAGGCAATTGGAGATTGGCAAGACTGGAGGTTGGGAGAGAGGTTAGGGCTGGATAGATTGAAGAATAATCAGCATTGAGATGATAAAGGAATACATGGGAGTTGATGAGATCACCAAATGAAATAGCATAGAAGGCGTAGGGAAAAGGGCCCCGGCTAGAGCCTTGAGCATCTCCCATGGTTAGTGGGCATTCACATTCCAGTCCAGCCAAACTCACCTCTTTGCTTCTTGCATTTACCATCTCCAGGGATATTACCATAGCCCTGGATATCCTGTGTGCCTGGAATGCACTCCCTCCTCATCTCTTTGGTTTGTTTCACTCTTCTGTTCAAGCGCCATCTCATTACCCTCCCCACAAGCTGCCAGTACTTCTCCTTCCAAGTTACTTTGTATCTGCTTTTGTACATACCAGCATAGATATACATTGTATACCCCATTAAAATGTGAGTTCCTCGAGGGCAGGGATTGTATTTTGGGACTTTTTTCCTCTACGTACCTGGCTTCTCCTGTAGTTCTTTGTAGTAGATGATTAATAAATGTTTGTTGATGGATTAAGGGACAGAGACTGAGAGGAGATGGAGGGGGAACTTCTTCTTCAAATTTCATGCTAATTTCTAATTCAGAAATCCCTTTAATTTTGAGAGAGGTAAAATTTCGGATGAATAGGAGACTGCCTACTTGACTGCCACCATGAGAGTGCATAGTCGTAACTGATAATTATACAGCACCTTAAATACATTATCCCATTTTGTTGTCATGTGCATAAAAGAAGATACCATTTTTAAAGAACTTTGCAAACCTTAAAGTGCTATGTAAATGCTATTATTAATTATCATTTGAACTATTTATCAACCCTGTGAAGTCAGTACTAGAGTTAGGATTCTCACCTGGCTTAATGACAGAAGAAGCTAGGTCACTAATCCAACCACCACATTTTGCAGATGAGGAAACTGAGTCTCAGAGGTGAAGTGACTTGCTCGAGGTGACATTGGCAGTAAGTGTCACAAGTGGGACATGAACCCAATTCTCCCTGATTACAAGCCCAGTATTCCATCTACCATGCCAGGCTGCCTCTCAGAGTCAGTCAACTGAGAGAATTGGACTAAAACTCTATGAGGTGGGCACTATTACTATCCCATTTCACAACTGAGCAAATTGAGGCAGAAACACATTAAGTGACTTGCCTCGGGGTCACACAGCTAGTAAGCATCAAAGGCAAGATTTGAACTCAAGTTTTTCTAATTCCAGGCCCAGCACTCTTACCTATTCACCGTCTTCAAATGAGATATTGTATGTAAATCATTTCACAAACTTTTAAAATGCTCTATAAAAGTCCAGAAGTTGTATCTACCCTTAAAATATGAGGATTTCCCATCATTCATGCACAGAGTGCTGGACTTGGACCCAGGAAGACCTGGGTTCAAATCCTGCCTAAAACCTTTATGTCTTTGAGTAAGTCACCAAAGCTCTGTTTGCCTTGGTTTCCTCATCTGAAAAAAACAAGGATGGTGATACCCCTAGTGCCCAACTTACAGGATTGTGTAAGGCTTAAATGAAATGATGCCAGTAAAGTGATTTCCAACCTTTCAATATCTTTGGGGAAGCAGCGTGGAATAGTGAGTGGGTGGCCTGAAAGCTAGGAAGACCTGTGACACATCCTGGCTGTGTGACTCACGGCATGTCCCTCAGCCTCTCAGGGCTCCAGGAAACCTTAAAGACAAGTTAGAAAAGGAGATGTCAGTCTGTATCATTGTAGAGGAAGTGTCCTCACTTTGAACTTCCCAATGTCAATGACGTCACAGGTCCCTTTACTTGGACTGTCAGTAAATAGTGATAGTCATGGTGGTGGTGAGGAGGACATCATGGACTTTTCTTGAAGGGGAATTGCTACCATGTTTCCTACAATAGTAGCAGTATGAGAATAACAAATGAGTGAAGGAATAAGGCAGTTATTAAACTCTTACTGTATGCACAGCGATGTGCTAAGCATTGGGGAGACAAATAGAGAAGTGAGACGGTTCCTTCTCTCAAGGAAGAGACAACTCTTACAGAAGATTTTGGCTGCAGGTGAGATAGAAAGGTCCCACGGTCCTTGGGATGCAGTGGTAACAAAGCAGAAGCCGATGCCTCTTCTTTAGTGCCATCTTTACTGATAAAATCCTATCAGTTTCTTATGTTGAATCATCTGCCAGTGCCAAGGACTGTGGTGGCGAGAACTTTGGTGTCTAGGTTTTCGGAAGAATATGCATGTCCTAAGGGGACTACTTGCAAAAGGTTAATACTCATTTCCTGTATTTTAAGTTCTAAACTTATTTGTTAACCTACTTCACATCATAATTATGATGTCGGAATGTAATCATTTTAATCACATCTTAGAAGTTCAGAAAGGGTTTAGCTGAATATTTGGAGGAGAGATCGATTAGGGGATATTGAGGTAATATAAAGGAAGATTTGGGCTAGATTCAACACTAATCTTAGAGATTAATATCAGTATCAGTTGGGATTTCCCTGGTCCTTTGCTGGCTCCATCAAAGACAGATTCTTGTGCTTCAAAGATGCTGCTTCCACTTTTTTTAAAATTAAATTTTCTTTTACTTAAATTATTTAAGTTAAATTTAAATTATTATTATTTATATTATATTGTGTTACTATTATATTATAATTATATATAATATATAATACAATATGATAATTATTATATGGATTTTATTGTAATATAAATATTATCATATAGTATTTTATGTATTATATTATTAAAGGACCTTTATAATTCAATACAATTTAAATATTATATAATATATTGCATATAATATTTAATTAAATCAATTTAAATTAAATCTTTTTTTTCCTCAACCAACAAGCATTCATTTTCTCTCCCCCGCACCTCCCTTGGTCAGTTTCCTACAGGGTATCAATTGAGGTTCTTGCTAATAGTGCTGCTGAGAAGTTGGGGAGGACTTGTGATCAGAGGTCCTGGGTTCAGATCCCACTTTCGATGTTTACTGTCTTTGTGACCTTGGGCAAGTTTCTTTACTTTTGTGGGCCTCATTTTCCTCATCTGTAAATGAGGGGATTGGATTTGGCGACTTATGAGGCCCCATCCAATTCTAGATCTATGCTTCTTTGCTCCTCTCAGTTTCTTGTTTTGTAAAACGAGGTCTGACTAGCGGGCCAACCTCTAAATCTGTGTTCCATCAGGATCCCTGTGGGAACTTACTGATGATAATTCTTTTGTTTGTGTTCTAGGTTACAGCCTCAAGAAAAATTGCCAAGTAAGTCAGCCCTCCCCCCGGGCAAGAATCCCCTAAATCTTTCCCTTCCTAAAACAGCTTCTACCAGATCCCCTTGGCATTCTGCTGAGGGTTAATAGACTTCCCCAACTCTCTTCTGGCCTTCTGGAGTAAGGGAGTCTGTGTTTGGCTGCTGAGCAGGGAGCTGTCCAGCCTTTTACCCACCCACCCAGTGTGCCTGGCCCTGGCCTGAGACCCCTTTGTCTTTGCCCCTGAGTTAGGAGGGGCTGAATCTGGGGAGGGCTTTCTCCTGAGGGGCTGGAACTGATGCCAAGAACCCAAGCCACAAGTGCTGGCTTATCCTACTGGGGTTTTCCAGGACGGAGTGGCAACCAGCCATCTGCTGATACTGTCTCACTCCTGATTTTTCAGCTCATGGCTGAAGCTTTTCTGGGGAGGGGCCTAGGCAGAGTCTGGGGGGCTCAGGACAAAGACACCATTTCCTTGCTTCCCTTCCTTCACATCTGGCCCAGGGACCTTTTGGCTGGTGAAAGGAAGGAAGAAAAAAAAAAGCACTTATAAAGTACCTACTATGTGTCAGGTGCTTTACAAATAAAATCTCATTATATACTCACAACAACCCTGGGAGATAGGTGCTACTACTATCCCCCATTTTAAAGTTGAGGAGACTGAGGCAAAGAGAGGTTAGGTAACTTGTCCAGGGTCACACAGCTAGCAAGTAAGTATCTGAGGCTAGATTTGAACTCAGATTTTCTAGACTTCAGGCCCAGAGCTCTATCCACTGCACCAGCCTAGGAGCCCTAGGAACCTAGAGCATGCCCCTCTCCTGGTGTATCCCCCAGCCTGCCACCAGCCTGAGCTTTGGGCTGCCCTGAATTGGACTGAGGATTGGGAAAAGGGGTATTCCTCCCTGCTCAGGGCCAGAGCAGGATGGTGGAGCAGAGTGATGGTGACCTGAGAGGTCAGGGTTTAAGGTAGGGAGTTGATACTCTTAAACCAAGCAAGCCTGGGGGGAGACTTGGGGACAGGGCACGGTGGAGGGAAGGAAACTGGATTGTAGCTACAGCTTTGAGCTTCCCACCCTGAGGTTCTGTTCTCTTGGCTCTTCTCTCCTTCCCTTTCCCTCTTTCCTGACCCCCGCCCACTATAGGGGTGCCAGCAAAAGCTGCCATGGCCTCCAGTGCCAGGACCTTAGCATTACTTTTTCCCCTAATTTGAAGATTTAATAGCAAGAATGGGGGAGGGTAAGGGTGTCATAGCCCATTATGGTGATAATCAGTCCCCTACTTCCACTTCCCCCCGAGGCAAGAAGATTAAGGCTTATGAAATTAATTTCCCAGTGAAGACCTGCCTGGGATAAAGTGGAAGTTGTCTGGACAAATTCTAGCTTCATCTAGGGCTCTCTGGAGGAGTAGGGATTAATCTTTGATTAATAAAATATCAGAGCTGGGAGGGCCCTTAGAACCCAGAATTCCAGAGCTGGGAGGGCCCTTAGAACACAAAAATGCCAGAGCTGGAAGAGCCCTTAGAACACGGAATACCAGATCTGGGAGGGCCCTTAGAATCCAGAATGTCAGAGCTGGGAGGGCCTTTAGAATAGAGAATGTCAGGGCTGGGAGAG